CCCCTGAGCCTCCTCCTGTCCAGGCTGAGCCCCCCCAGCTCCCTCAGCCTCTCCTCACAGCACTTGTGCTCCACACCCTTCCCCAGCCTCGTTGCCCTCTGGTCCAGAGAAGGGCAACTGGAATCCTGTTATAGTTTGGGTTGGGGTGTCCTGTGTAGAGCCAGGAGTAGGACTGGATCCTGATGGGTCCCTTCCAGCTCAGCATATTCTGTGCTTCTATGATAAATTTATAAGTAAAGATTAGATTTAATATAAAATTATTTAAATAGCATCTGAAATACAAATATATAAGTTGGATTCCAGTTGCTGCAGCTCTTGCCCCAAACTCTCATTTTGGGGCAGAAGCTGCTGCCCAATGAGGTTGTTTGACACTGGATTTAGTGTTTAAACAGCCTCAACACCAAAGCTTTTCCTTGCAGCTTCTCCCCAGCACTAACCCAGGGCCAGCTCTCCACCCTGACACAGCTGAATTTCTGGTTACTACAAGAACCTCACGGATTTGCTTTGAGTTTCAAAGCAGGTTCATTTTCTCTCCTTGCCTGGGAGCAGACACGCTGCTCCTCAAGGACAGGGATTACCTGGGAAGTGATTCTCAGGGCAGGGTCTGAGTCACCAGCTGTGAGAGAGCGGGGTCACAGCCTTCCTGGGAGCAGATTAATCCCAGGCAGGGGGAAGCTGAGGGTGCTGGGAGGGCAGTCCCTGCGGCAGCCAGTCAGGGGAAGGACAGACTGTCAGTCTGGTACCGTAATTCTGTGTTTCCTTTACAAAAAAATCCCACTTTCTGCTGAGTTTTCAGCTTCCCAGGGCTCAGGTGCCTTGTTCCACAGCCAGGCTTCCCCATCTCCTTCCAGTGGCCACCGGTGAGCAGCTCTGCTCCCAAACACTCCCTCTGCCACTGCTGAACCACCAGCACACTTCTGCCTCCTCCCTGGAGGTGATGCTGTCCCAGACCCCCAGGGCAGGGGGTCACACCCAAGCTGGCTTTGCCTTGGGCTCCCCCTTGTCCACCCAACCACCCGCAGAGCACACTCAGCACACCCAACTGACACCTTTGCTACCCCAACTCAGCCCAAAAGCCTGCAGAATGGCTGTTTCCAGCCTGGAAAGGAGATTTCTGAAGTTCAACAGCGCTGCCAAACTCAACTGGCTCCTAAAAGCAGCACAGGAATCTTCCCAAGGCAGTCCAGTGCCAGGGAAACTTGTGCCAGGGCCAACGTCAGCAAGGACAAGCGGTGGCCAGTGGAGCCAGAGCGTAGGACATGGCATTCCAAGGTGAAGCTCATCCCAAAGCAAAGCTCCCCCACCCCCATCAGGGTGCCAAGTGTGTTCTGGGAGAAGTGTTCCCAGGGCTGGGGAGCAGAGCAGCCAGTGCCAGAGGGGACACCTGTGAGAGACACAACATGGGGCTGCAGAACGACCCCTCAGACACCTACGGAGGTGCTTGGGGTTGGGTCAGGAAGTCTCTGCTCAGAGAGCCCAGAAACCACACCCAGAGAAGAGCCAGGCTGACCTTGGGCTTTAGTGCAGATGCCCCAGCAATCCTAAACTCGGACCAGAGCAGCAAACCAGAGCTCAGCAAGAGAAGATGCACTGTCCCATCATCTCCATCCAAGAGACAGAGATGGGACAAGGCACAGAGGTGCCAGGAGATAAAGCACATCCACCAGAAATCCATGGTCCATCCGGGAGGCACAGCCAGAGGCAGGGCTGGAGGCAAAGGCTCTGCAGCCCAGCTTGGGAGAAGGCTGAAGGCACAGGGCTGAGCTTCAGTGGGGCTCCCAGGATGAGGGGCTGGGTGGGGGTCCTGGGTGAGGCTGAGCAGGGTCATTAAGGCCCATCAGTGCTCTCAGAGATCAGCAGTGGTCCTCCACCATCCCATTCCACCCCATTCCTGGGGCTGCATTCCAGAGGAAGGTGTTCCTTGGGGGGCACCCCCAGTTGCAGACCCATAAAAGTGACCATCCCTGCTTTCCTCTGGCTTGTTCACACATGTGAAGCTCATGCTCAGCTTTCCATCCTCCCCAAAGGAGGGAAATGAGGGAAAAGCGAATGACATAAACAACGGAAAACCCAGTTGGAGCCCTGGGGGAGGGTCTGTCAGGCTGAGTCATTTCCCCTGGATGCAGCACCACTGGTTGAGACCTCAAATAACAACCCCAGGGGACAGCCCTGGTGTTTGCTGCCTGGGGCATGGAGCAGATGACCTAATGGGTCTTTCCTCCCTCTAATTCCTGAGTGCCTTGTGCCAGTGTCCTGCCAGGAGTCTGCTCAGGATCACAGCCCGTGCTCTTCAAACTCTGAACTGGAGAGGCTGCTCCATCCCAGCTGGAATCTCATCACGAAGGCTCTCTGCATTAAGGGATGGAAAAGCAGGGCTTTATCCTGGGACAGGGGTTTGCTGGCACCTCACACCACTGACACCACTACAGGCATTCAAAACCAGACTGATGCTCCTCCACTCCCCCCCTGGCATCTCCCATTCCACCACCCTTTGCCCCTTAAAGGACATTTTCAGGCTTGGAGGTTGTGCCTGACCCTCTCTGCACCCAGGGCACCCACGGTGGCAACTCCATGTTTGTTTGGACTCTGCACATGGGCTGGGCAAGGTCAAGGACACCCTCACACAGCACGTTGTGTTTGCAGGACATCAACCCTCCAGCAGCTCTTCCTTCTTCTCCTTCTATCCCACAATATCCAGAATCCCAGAGCAGCCACCCGTGTCCCCTCCTGTGCCACGTTTGCTCCCTGCCGTTCCCATTTCCCTCCTCTC